GTACCCCATCTACAGATCCGACGGCACGCGCCGTGTGCCACTACCTCGTGTATGACGTCACAACCTTCTTTTTAAGCGTATTACGTTTCTTACGCGCGCGCGAGACAAGGCGTACGTGCCTGCGTGAATGCGTATGAGCACGCATATGTACATATCGCGTAGCTGTACCAAGCTGTAAACCCTCGACTCACGATATGACGGATGTCAAAGAGCGGATATGATTATTTTAGATATAAATATTCATTGTGTAACGAACGAATAATAGCAAATAGACGCATGAAAGGGCTTGCGAAGAGTGATCACATATTTTTCTGAAGACGAAAAACAATCGAGAATATCGCTAATATTATTATTCGCGCGGTTCGATGCATTTGCAGCTTGCCGAAATATTTAAGCTTAATATATTGGCTTGGTATTTTGCGCGCATGCCAAGGGATTTGGCATTTTGCCAGCCAATAGTTTGATATGCGCCAGGTCAATTTCAATAATCAGGTAATAAAATTTCGCGAGAAATACACTACTAGTAGCTCCAATAAATCAAAGCTAACTTTGTTGCTTAATTTTGCTTGTTAAATTGTGATTTACTAGATAGAGATATCGGCGAGTATTCGTTCATCGTAAATTCATTTTCGTTAAATTTATAAAATAATTGTAAAAAGCAGTTGGCGCATCGCTGATGGAAATCAAATACGAGCTATTACTTTTTTTTTGCAGGTGAATTCGAACTCTGCAGCATGAATTGCATGAAATAACCGAGTTCCAATGAGATCGCGTGGAGGCACCCTAATCTGGATATTTGCCAACTGCCCTAATTTAGGGGTTTACTTACCTAATACTGTAGAACATACGGGCGCATGCCGAGGCAGCGATTGCGCGTCATCTGCGCTTCCTCTTTTTCATTCTTCGACTTTTTCGTATCCGCATGACTCGTCTCTACTTGTGCAAAAAAATGAAAACCTGGAAATAAAAGAAATAAGAATTAGAAAGAAATAAAAGTAAAAAATTAATTTTTAAATTCAAACGAATAAATAAGGAATAAAAATAAGAAGCTAAACATCCGTTGCTAGATGGTCGTGCTAGTGTATTCAGAGACAAATAGTAAAAATTCGACCTGTTATCAGGTCTTCTTCAAGTTTATAATAAATGAAATATTACATTACAAATTAAAACGCTTTTACAAACGAATTATTATAAAACATCGCTGATATATGTTGTTGTTGGTATATAGTTGTGTATTAAAAAGTTACTTGATGCATTATAGATGATGAAGTCAATCACAGATATCAATAAATAAAAAGAATAAAATTGTTAATCATTATCTTGATTACACTAAAACGCAAAGAAATTTGAATTAAAAAATTGAAAATATAATAAGAATAAAACGCAACAAAATTGAAATTATACATACATTATTCGCAACGATATCAATGTTTAAATCATAGTTTAAAAAAAAAAGGGCCAAGTTCCATTGGAAAAGTCAGAGATTGCTGGTCAACGATTAAAGGAACTTGACTGATAATATTAGCATTAAAAGTTTTACTTTACAGCCTTCACCCGAAAGACTAGAACCATTCTTATTTTAAACATTTATTACTAAAACTTGATATAAAAAGTAAATAATGGATAACAATCTGTTTGAATACGAGTTAGATTAAATAAAGAATACATTATCGTTAATTCGTACTACCGTAAGAGATTAATTTGTCATGATTTGAATAGAAAGCCATAAAGCTCGCGTTTTGTGACAAGACCATGCACATTCATGTACACTTGCCCCATAATTTTTCTGACACCCTCGTCCCCGATACAACGAGAGCACGTACTACGCAAGAGCTCCTGACGTCACTCGTCGTAAAACCGGATGGGGTGCGGTGAACCCCGTCTCTCTCTCTCTCTCCTCTCTCCCTCTCTTTCTCCTGCTCTCTCTCCCGGTCGAAGGGCGCGTATTATACGACATACGCATCAGTACTATATGGGATGACAGATTATTATGGCGGGCATACTGCTCCCCGGCTGCAAGGCATTGTATCGGGGATACAATGGCCCGGACCTGTCTCGGCCACGCATCCACGTCTCTCATTGTTAGTTAGCGCGGCACCGTCCCCCTGGCTCACCCCTATCTCACCTCCATTCGGATTCGCAGGCCCGGCGCGCCCCGCCAAGTGTTGCAGCCATCGCGGCTAATAAATCCGCTCCCCGTTAAAAAGACCCTCCCCCCTTTGATATATCGACAACCCTTCTAAAGAGTTCGCAGTCTCATTGAGACGAAATGATCGCTTCTGATGAATCGTTATTTTTCATCAGATCCTTATTTTTATAGAAAATAATAACCGCGCCCAAAATGTTGTCACGCGGTAAAAATGCAAGAAATTCAAGCGTGGTGAAAGACAATACGCTCGCATTGAAACATACCGATACATTGTGAAAACTATTTAAAGATAAAAGAAGGTAAACACGCGGAGCGCGAGACTGGAGCGGGAACAAAGCCACCGTCACCAGCTGGTGCGCTCGGCAAAATCACGGTCGCGTAATCAGGTAAACAGCGTTACGATAAGGTGTCGCTACGCAGAAAGAAGCCTTTGTTGTTTTCTTCGCCGCGTTGTGCATCGGGGAGGAAGGAGGGGAGCGAAGGCACCCGTAGTTGTACAGTGTACTTCCGCTCACGAGGTGGTTCAACAGGTCAGACCGACGGGGGAGCCAGATGAAACCACTTCCGGCCGTCCCCTCCGTGGCCCGTCCTTCTTTCCTATTTCGCTCCACGTGCGTTGGCGTCTTTCTCTCTATCGCCCATCGCTCATCTTACGCTCGCAGATGCTCAGATTAATAGAATATCGATATCATTTCTTGAGCGAGGAAATGAAGCGGTAAACCGCGATTAGACGGCGAATTATGTTGCGCAACTTTTTTTTTTTAGACAATTGAAACTGGGAGAAGTTTCTATCGCGTCTTCTGACATTGATATATTTGTAAAATTATACTGATCAATAATATCCAAAGTAATATGAAATATTAATAATCAGAAGTGGTTCTTGAAGGAAACTTTCCTTTCATCAACAATAAGATCTCACTGTACATTCTCAATCCATATGTTTCTGCGCAACTACATGTACATATATTCGCGTATTTACTCGCGGTCGATTAGTCCGCCCGTAGCATATACACACGTGCATAATACACACACGCGAGTCCATCACGCGACTCCCTTCGTCCGCTGCTCTTTCATTCATACGCAACGCGAGCGTACATGAGCGCGTGCGTTTACGTGTGACCGAAACCGCAACGCGGTCTTCGGCAGCACATGCACTCTTCTTGCCGCCGCTGTTTGCGCTGATATGTGTGCACTTTGTGCAGGAACGGCACAGAAGGCGACTCAATGAACCACCGCCGGGGGTTGAGGATTGCATTTCCGTCGACTACACCTCAAGATTTGCAGGATTGCACGCGTGGCGCAAGACAATCTATCCACGAAAAAAAAAACAAATCTATCCACGAAAATGTGTCTTACAGCCGCATCTCTCTTGACGCAAAAAATTACATTACAATATAAAATCGCTTATTTCTTCAACGTTGAATAAATTCATTTTTCTTTACAAGCTACAAAAAAAATGCAAAGAATTTAAACTTATAATTTTTACACGATGCGTTATGCAATATACGTATGCTTTACGCAATACATTTCTTCCCGTGAGAATTCAGATCTCGCGAAATCTCATAACCACGATTTATCTCACCGTATTTTGTTTTTTACTCGGCATCTGCGCAGCATGATCGCGCAAGTTCGGCAAAAGCCAGCCCAGTAATACGCTTAATTACCTCCATTCGTTACGCGAAAGGTATGTTAATTCGCGAATATTATCGAGTTTAATCTCGGGCTCTGATGGCGACAGTTGCTGCGCCCGCGTCCGCGTCCGTAGAGATATCTGGCCGCAGCTGAGCCACGGAGATCGGCCCGGTCGATCTTAATCGATTCACAAGCGTCGTGAATTTTATGCGACGATTATGCTAATCGAGACGCCCCGACTCGTGCGCCGTTCGATCAGTGTCCGAATATTACAATATTACTCAGCAAAAATTATACAAAAATTCTGATTATTATACCTTCTCGCGAAATTTTTTTTCTCTTTATCGCGGAGAAAAATTATTTTCCAAAAGATCTATTCGAAAATTTTATGATCGCATGATTAATGGTTGAATTTCATTTAATTCCCTCGCGAATTCCCTTGCGATCGCACGAAGATAGAAACTTGTTCGAAAAGTAAGCATACAATACGTTATGTTAATAAAATGTGCAATTATCGCTGCTGAAATCACAGCAGGCAAAAGTTTGGCTCGAATTTCAAATTGATGATCCCTTACGGTGCAATGCACGCTCTGGCAGGATGCCGAATACACCCGATAAAACTCGTCGGATACCAACGGAAAGCTGAGCTGGGAAAGTAAACACGGAAAAGGATTATAAGCCAAGTGCTTGCGAGTCAAACAAACGTATGACGCGCCACGACTACCTTTCCGGCTGTGTGAGAACTTTGCTGCTCATGCAAACCACAAATATATCCGCCCGACCAAAAATCTCCGCAAAGAAAGAAAAAGAGCGTGCGTTTCCCGCTCGTTTCTTCTTTCCGGTTTCTATCTTGGCGTCATAAAACAACGCTTCTCGCCGCGCCGGCGATACGCCGAACATCGCTGCGCTCGCTATACTGGCATGAAATCGCGCGAATCCACCTGTCGCCGTGCAAAGTTTTCTCGGAAGACTGCTTCAAAAACGATTATTAAGACCGATAGTTAATAAAGTTGGAAAGTTTAAAAGTAGAAAAAAATTTTAACAGCAAACTAACTCGATTCATTTCCCGTTTGAAGAAAAAAAGTTATTAAAAATACTAAAAAAAGAATACAGTTAAAAATATAATTTTAAATGAGACGAAATTGTATTTTATCGCATGGACCGAATTATATTTGTTTAAATGGAAGAAATTTTATGAATTGTTTATGATTAAAATCATATTTTTTGTGTAAGCAAAGCGTGTTTCATTAGTAAGTGATTTATCAAGTCGACGAAATAATCTTCTCAAATAGTGCTTTCCAATTATCGCCGTGAGAAAGAGCTACGTGACGAAAAATGCGAGAACCCGATTTACAGCGACTTAATATGGGCGCGTCGTGATTCACGTAATGGCTCGTAATCCACTTAATACTATTGTGCGGTTTCCGACCGATTGGTAAAGATTCATCGAGGGTCGACTGCAGCACCGGGAGAGGCCAGTCGGTTAGTCCCTCGGGGCGTAAGTGGACGCACGTATTTCGATTCCACCTGGAAAGACCCAGAAGACGCCCAGTCTCGGTTGCTTAATCGCGATCTCATCGCAGCTGTCAATACAGAATGTTCCAGATTGTCTCGCGCAAGCGATATCGCCCGAATTTTCAATCTCGACAGAGCGAGCCAGGGCGCAGTCCACGTGAAGGCCATCCAGATTTCTCGAGAAACATTAATAAATCGTCTTGCTCTGATTTTGCGGAGAGACTTGAATTGCGAGGCGAACCAAAATAATTTTAATGTACATATTTTTTATATTTTGTTTCTGATCTCTTGCTTTCGCAGATATCTTCAAGCTGAAAGTTCTCACCGATTGTCCGAAGCTGTATTTGATATTTTCAATATTGAAAAGTCAAAATTAAAAGAAACCACGATGGAAAAACTGTTTTCTAACAAAATTAGATCATTTTCATGCAAAATCGAGAAAATTTATTTCGGATCGCCTTCGACGCAATTCGGGTCAGTCATCGGCTCCGCCGATGATGGTGCGCACAAATTTTCTCATGTGAGTCTTCTTCTTCTTCTTCGAGGTACATCATGGTAGGGAGACGGCACGCGTGCCACGCGCCCGGACTCTGCCGAAGGGCGGCGGGCGCGCAAGATAATAATCTTTCCCGGAGTGACTCTGCCGGAGCCCCCACTACGC